ATCAAAATCAACTTCTGCAAAACACTGTAACACTTCGTTTCTTTATAATTTTTCTTTATTATTTTTGGTTTCTTTAGTTTTTGTTATTGGAAATAACGTTTTCTTTTCTTTTATTTTTGATTTTATTGATTTTGGTTTTGTTTGTTTACCGATAAATAAACTGGTGCCTTGAATAATAACCGTGAAAAACCTTCTGCTACCTAAAAATTTGCAGATTAATAAAGAATCGCTCGTAACAATTGGTGCCTTCTAGCAGAAAACAAATTGTTAAAATATTGGATAGTTGAATGAACACTTTCTTAGCTCATATTCTTGCAACTCGAAAACACGATTGCTTACATACCTGGAACGTAAATATTATACCTGAAATACATACTGATATCTCTTGTCACCTCTGTCATCCTCCTAAAGCCCCAACAAATCTCGGTGATTATATTCGATTCGAAAGCTTTTGGACCTGATTTTCTGTTGAATATCCTGCTCTTCATTACACATCATATACTCAGGACTACTTCCAAGCCCTCACTAATAATCTAAACACCCCAAATACCTGGACTCTCATTGCACATCTCCTTTTAAGTATCCGTTACTTCAAGGAACCCAAGTCTTACGATCAAGCCTGACAGGAAATATACACTGTTTTTACCTTAACAAACGGTTTTAACGACGATCCCTTTGACGTAGTTTATAATATAAGTGAAACTGCTGACTCTCAAATAGCTGAATACCAAACTGCATAATCAAATTCATCTGACGAGGAAGAAAATTTTGGTTTAGAATTACTCTTTAATCAACCAGAACCACAACAATTACTTCCTAATCAACCACTACTAGGACCTATGGCTCAACCTAATCAACAAAACTTTCAGGAACTTACTGATACTCTCACACAATTGATTGCTGCTCTGCCCAACACTACTAATGCCTTGACTAACAATACCAACGCTATCAATAATCCTCCCAGAAGAGAGGCTCGAGTGATTGATTTACCCTACTTTTACGGTGGAAATCAGGACCCTATAACTTGGCTCACTGAATTTAACAAAG